TTCCTGGGATCTGTTGGAGCCACTCTCCCAGTTTGGGGGTCACAGCCCCCAATGTTCCTATTACCACAGGGACCACTTGTGCCTTCACCTTCCACATCTTTTCTAGCTCCTCTTTCAGCCCTTGGTATTTCTCAAGCTTCTCGTGTCCCTTCTTCCTGATGTTGCTATCACTTGGGATTGCTACATCTATCACTACGGCCGTCTTCTTCTGTTTGTCCACTACTATGTCCGGATGGTTGGCCATTACCAGTTTGTATCTGGAAGTCCCTGTACTTGGTCATTCTCAACCACCTTTGGAGGTGCATCCCCTTTTGACTTTGGGACTCGGCACAGATGTTTCTGTACACTATTCCAGCCACTTGGTTATGGTGTTCCATGTATGCCCTGCCAGCTAGCATCTTGCACCCAGCTGTTATGTGCTGGATTGTCTCAGGGGCATCTTTGCAAAGCCTGCACCTGGGGTCCTGTCTGGTATGGTAGACCAAACCATGAATGTTGATGTTGTGTGATATGGACCATAACCATTAAGGTTACTGGTCATGCAAAGGTGGATCATTTAATTTATTAACTTGTCAATACAACAATTATTTTTATAGTCACTGTACTGACACTAACTAATGTAAACTGCAACTAAACAACATCATTTCTATGTTTCTATGCTCGATCCAAATATTTGACTATTCAGATATGCATTAATTAGGTATGTAATCAGTTTTCAATTGCAGTATTTGAATATTTGAGATAGCCCAGAAATTTCCGGCTGTCTGCGTCCAATGATGAAGGGAAAAGAGAACAGGATGGAGACAGTTCGGTTCACAAGCTGGTACTTAATAGGGATGACAGGCATCACGATGGGAAGCTAGCATTGTGATTTAACTTATTTCTGTCACTACTGTGGGGTTGAAGTATAAGGTCACATACTGTAGGTTTACTGAGGTCATGTTACAGGCTAGAGCAGCATTAATGTTGAGTGAAATATCCCTTTTATTCTTCCCCAAACACTTATCCCTTCTATCTCTTGACTTCATCTAGCTCTTGCATCTTTTTTGAGACCAGTTCTCAGCTAAATTCCATGAGGACTCTATCCAAGCAGAGGGATGTGTTTGTGCATGTTTAACGTTGTGTAAAATGCCTGGTTTTTCCTTGTGATATTTTTGGTAAGCTTCCGTATATGTTTAATATTCATGTCATTCACCAATAAATAGCATCTGATGGAACTGCACTTTATATTTTTTGAGGGAGTACTGGAAAGAAAACAGCTTTTTCTCCAACCATGAAAAATACCTTTGTACTGTTGGACAGTGATAACACTGCTTCAACCTGACTTATAGTAAATACTGCCTGATGAAACTTTCCAACAAACTGCACTTGGCAGCCTCTTGAATCATCTGACAGATTTTGAACAGTCTCATCAAATCCACAAAGAATGCTTTAATAGTAGCTCAGAATATGCCATTTGTGTTTTGACATGTTTCACAGCAATACATGCTGCAGAAAGAACAACTGCTGTGGCCAAATTTGGTAAATGGTCTTATACTTGTATAGCGCCTTTCTACGCTTTTTACAGCACACTCAAAGCGCTTTCACATTATTCAGCCATTCACCCATTCGCACTCTCAAGCACTCAAGCATTCACACACCGGTGACATCACCGGGAGCAACTGGGGGTTCAGTGTCATGCTCAAGGACACTTCGATATATTGACTGGACAAGCAGGGAACCGAACCGCTAGTCCTCCGGTTAGTAAACGACCTGCTCTACCTCCTGAGCCACAGCCGCCCCCATTTGGTGTTAACAAGCTTAAAAAGGTGGGGCCACTAAAAAAATAATGAGCCATGTGGGTTGTTCCTCTACCAGCTGCCTCATCTGATATCTGAATTGATACCGATATCATGAACCTCCTAACAGTTTAGCTGTGTTCAGTTCATCATTAAATTCCATCAGCCTCAAGACAAACTAGTATTTACCACCAGCTGCTGACAGAAATCAGATTTTTCAAAAAGTGATGTTTCTGCATTGATATGTTAACCCTCCTTATGTATTTCTAGTCTGTATACTTCCCTCAGAAATGACCTGCCCTTGCTGCACCGCTCTGAAAAAACAACTTCATTGCAGTTATAAGATTCCTTTCTAACTTTGCAAGAAATGGAGACACGGTTACAGTATTTTAGTACAAAATTCCCCCTTTTTGTTGCTATCCATTCACCACAGCTCAGCAAGGAAACCCTGTCTTGGGAACATAAGAGGAAGCTTTGGAAGACAACCACTTAATTAGACTGCATCACTTAGGCCCCTGGTAATTTGATGAAACTTGACTTTAATGTATGTAGGAAAAAATCTAAACCACATAAACAGGATAAATTGAAATAATAATGATTTCAAAAAGTGATCTACAAGATAGTGTAGAATCAATTCCTGTACTGGATCAGGTACCTGCGGGGTAACCTGCAAAAATGAAAAAGTATGTAAAGAAGTTTATAATATTTCACTGATATGGGTAAAAATAGACTAAATGCAGGCAAGTAACAAATGAAATAAACATATAAAGAGATAAATAAATAAAGGTATAGCTTCTTTTAACCAACATAATATTATCAAGACTAAATAACTGATAATTTTTTGTGAATGTCTATTCCTTTGGCCCCTCAACTCACATCTGGCTAAATAACAGGATGTCACTCAGATATTGCCGTAGGCTATGGGGTCAGTGGATCTTAATGGATAACCTAAAAGTGCAAACAGATGAATGTGAAACTGTTTCACAATTCATCATCGAAGGCCATGACGGACGTATTGGAGAAATTCAGTGTGATTACGGACTGTGAGAACAATGTTATCAGCAGTTTTGCTGCTTGTAAAAAGCACCAAAAGGTGTTATTTCATAGTTACAAGCTAGGCACTTCATCACTATGAAAGAAGACAGCTGCAGGAGCACAGGTGCTGTGATTGCCTATTTAACCTACCTACCATGTCGCTTAAAATCTATTTTAATCATGAGTACAGGTTGGGTTGTGGTACCTATTTTAACAATTTGGGTCAAGTTTCATCCAGTGTTTTGGGAATTCGGGACGGGTGCAGGTTTGCAAAACTGGACTAGGATAATGCAGGATCCAGTTGATATTATACTGTAGTGAAACAAATATACCAGTAATCAAACTACCAAAAACCTCCAGGCTACTTAAAGTCATCCTGACTTCCCTGCAAAAAAACAATACTATCCTGGAACAACAGAAGTAGTTTTGAAACTTTTGAAAAAATATTCTACTAAGGTTGGGGTCATTTCGGGAAAAATCAATCCACTTTTGTGCAAAAAAATTATTTGCGCATGACAAGTGTTACCAGTGCTCGCAGGGACCAATCAGTGTACACACTGAGGCTAAGAAGTTATTACAGAGTATATTTTGTGATATATGTAACATTTTAATAGAGTTGTGACAGATTCAATTAACTGCAATAATAAAACACATCTTGGGTGTACTGACTTTTACAAGCTGATGGCAAAATAGATGCTATAATAGAATGAGCTGGTAGTGTGGGTCCAAATCTGTTACATAAACTCATGTACTATAGGTTAGGTAATCACAGGCTGAGTGAATTTGTTCTGATATTACTACAGTTAGGAATACACTGGCAATTATTTGAAGCTGACAAAAAGCCTCATTCTCTTCTACATACAGTAGGATACAGTGCCTTGCGAAAGTATTCGGCCCCCTTGAACTTTGCGACCTTTTGCCACATTTCAGGCTTCAAACATAAAGATATAAAACTGTAATTTGTTGTGAAGAATCAACAACAAGTGGGACACAATCATGAAGTGGAACGAAATTTATTGGATATGTCAAACTTTTTTAACAAATAAAAAACTGAAAAATTGGCCGTGCAAAATTATTCAGCCCCCTGCACTGTGATAGTCTCAGAGGTCTGTTTAAAGCGCAGAGAGCATCATGAAGAACAAGGAACACACCAGGCAGGTCCGAGATACTGTTGTGGAGAAGTTTAAAGCCGGATTTGGATACAAAAAGATTTCCCAAGCTTTAAACATCCCAAGGAGCACTGTGCAAGCGATAATATTGAAATGGAAGGAGTATCAGACCACTGCAAATCTACCAAGACCTGGCCGTCCCTCTAAACTTTCAGCTCATACAAGGAGAAGACTGATCAGAGATGCAGCCAAGAGGCCCATGATCACTCTGGATGAACTGCAGAGATCTACAGCTGAGGTGGGAGACTCTGTCCATAGGACAACAATCAGTCGTATACTGCACAAATCTGGCCTTTATGGAAGAGTGGCAAGAAGAAAGCCATTTCTTAAAGATATCCATAAAAAGTGTCGTTTAAAGTTTGCCACAAGCCACCTGGGAGACACACCAAACATGTGGAAGAAGGTGCTCTGGTCAGATGAAACCAAAATCGAACTTTTTGGCAACAATGCAAAACGTTATGTTTGGCGTAAAAGCAACACAGCTCATCACCCTGAACACACCATCCCCACTGTCAAACATGGTGGTGGCAGCATCGTGGTTTGGGCCTGCTTTTCTTCAGCAGGGACAGGGAAGATGGTTAAAATTGATGGGAAGATGGATGGAGCCAAATACAGGACCATTCTGGAAGGAAACCTGATGGAGTCTGCAAAAGACCTGAGACTGGGACGGAGATTTGTCTTCCAACAAGACAATGATCCAAAACATAAAGCAAAATCTACAATGGAATGGTTCACAAATAAACATATCCAGGTGTTAGAATGGCCAAGTCAAAGTCCAGACCTGAATCTAATCGAGAATCTGTGGAAAGAACTGAAAACTGCTGTTCACAAACGCTCTCCATCCAATCTCACTGAGCTCGAGCTGTTTTGCAAGGAGGAATGGGCAAAAATTTCCGTCTCTCGATGTGCAAAACTGATAGAGACATACCCCAAGCGACTTACAGCTGTAATCGCAGCAAAAGGTGGCGCTACAAAGTATTAACTTAAGGGGGCTGAATAATTTTGCATGCCCAATTTTTCAGTTTTTTTATTTGTTAAAAAAGTTTGACATATCCAATAAATTTCGTTCCACTTCATGATTGTGTCCCACTTGTTGTTGATTCTTCACAAAAAATTACAGTTTTATATCTTTATGTTTGAAGCCTGAAATGTGGCAAAAGGTCGCAAAGTTCAAGGGGGCCGAATACTTTCGCAAGGCACTGTATATAACCTATCAGTTGGTTGTATATGTATATAAGTGATAGCAAATGTATAATTAGAATTAATGTATGGCCAAGTATGTTACACACACAAGGAATTTGTTTCCAGTACAGAACCAATGGCAACCATTTGCGGCGCCAACTCAGCCGATGGCTCTAACCATCGGGGGCAACGGGGGGGTTCAGTGTCTTACCCAAGGACACTTTGAATGCCCGCACTGAGATTCGAACCTTCAACCTTGTGGTTGGGAGACAACTGCTCTACCCACCACACCACGGTCGCATGTGGCTTCACATGTCTCTACATGGACTTGGATTCCTAGAAACCCTGGCCTGCTTATCAACATCCTGTCTGAACTCTGCTCACAGCATTTACAGTCACTGGTATCCAGTGGCCCATGACATAATCCATATACATGGAATGTGTATAAGAAATAAATCCTATAGCCACACTAAATGCTTTACAACAACTTTGAGCCTGGCTCAAAATGTCTGCCATTTCATTTACTTCAATATTTTGTGTACTTTGCTGTTTGAGCGCCCCCTTTTCAGAATGCTAATTTTCACACAAGTATTAATGCAACAGCTATGCAACTAAAGGCTTTATTCTATTATAAAGCCTTGTCCGGTTCTTTCAAACCAGGAACTCAGAGGGATGACTCAGACCACTTGAGTATATAAAAAATATAACCGTGCTGGTTTATTCAAAGAGTCACAGGCAAGAATTAACATTACATTTCCAGAGATCTTCCACCCCCCAGGCTGCCCAAGCAGCCCGGAAGCAGAAAAGACCCCGAAACTAGAATTGCTATACAATCTCATCACTTAGTTGGCTCGCCCCCTCCTCCACAGAAATGTCAACCGAGACGTCTCTCTCTCACCAGCTTTGCAGCTGGCTATAACGTTAGCCAAAACATTAGGAAAAGTCAAGGTGTGTGGCTGTTGTTTTCGTGGTGTGTATCTAAAACAATTTGACATAACATTACACATTAAGACAAATATTATGGTCACTTTTACCGTCATAATAACATTTATCCCTGACTGCAGCCTTTCTCTGCTTTAACTAACCTTGCATTTAACAGCCTGAGGAAGACATCCTGGCTACACTAACATCTTCTAATACAACAGATCTCTAATCAATATCTATCTAACTAAGAAATTACCTAACA